AGGCTACCCCACCGCCCACTCAGAATGTGAAATGTCGACAATGGCCAACAGAGACACAGCAGTTGGAATATGTCTTTCCGTTTTATGATATAAAGATTTTGCTGACGTAATGCCTTGAGCCAGCAGTGTTATAGACTAACGCCTTGTCCGTGAATATATAATAATAAACCCATTTTAACTGAAAAGGAACCCCAATGATATGGGAAATTCAGGTGCCTGAACCTGGGGAAATCTAGGCTTGTTTCATTTAGGGCTTTAGTATTGCAGGGAGGGCTAGGCAGTAGGGAAAATAATGTGATTCGGGGACTGCGAGACCGACTAGCATTGTTACTGTGTGCACTCGCGAATCTTCACGTTTTTCCAGCACACTTTGCACCCGATTCTGTATCGATGATTGTAGATTAGAGGTTCGGTGGTGTAGCCTAGTGGTTAAAGCGTTAGCACGTCACGCAGAAGATCCGGGTTCGATTCCCCACATGGGTACAATGTGTGAAGCCCATTTGTGGTGTGATATTGCTGGAATATTGCCAAAAGCGGCGTAAAACGTCACTCAATCACTCGTGCTTAAGGGTTTCATTATTGACGTCATAACTGAAATGCATTTCAATCAGTCGTTGCAATCATCAGGCCTATCTCAGTACAATGTCGTTCAATCCAAAATAATAAACAATAAGAAATCATTTAGCATGTGCCATAGAAAAGAACTGCAATTTAAACACCAAACCAGACTATGGGGATCTATACAGTATATGTCGCAATGATTCCGTACTGTGCTTGAAAACTCACCAGAAGACTTAGTAAACATGAAACCCGCGATTCTGGCATTCATCCAAACAAATGATGTTGTTTTGCCTCCTGCAAATAATTTGTTTGATGTCATTGTACAGGGTAAAACAGTCAGATTACATAACAAATATAATTTGATCACAATACCATGTATGTCGATATATCGACTGGAGGTCTCAGTTTTCTTTGTGTTTTGATCCACGTGAAAAAGAAGTGTAACATAAAACAGAGCTGTGTTTCTGAGAGATTAGACAATAAGGTTCCAGCGTTGCTGCCTGCAACGGTTCCATGAAATAGCAAGCATCGAAGCTGGCAACAACTCCTGTAAGTCTAATATAACACCCAACCGCCAAAACCGAGCATATAGGTGAGTGAGTGAGTGAGTTAAGGTTTACGCCCCAATCAGCAATATTCCAGCTATATGGCGGCGGTCTGTAAATAATCGAATCTGGACCAGGCAATCCAGTGATCAACAGCATGAGGATCGACCTGCGCAATTGGGAGCCGATGACATGTGTCAACCAAGCCAGCGAGCCTGACCACCCGATCCCGTTAGTCGCCTCTTACGACAAGCATGGGTTACTGAAGGTTCATTCTAACCCGGTTCTTCACGGGTCCGATCATATGGGATTTCCAATGCAGACAGGGGCGGTGGGGTAGCCTAGTGGTTAAAGCGTTGACTCGTCACGCCGAAGACCCGGGTTCGAATCCCCACATGGGCACATTGTGTGAAGCCCATTTCTGGTGTCCCCCGCCGTGATATTGCTGGAATATTGCTAAAAGCGGCGAAAAACCATACTCACTCACTCACTCCAATGCAGACACATGTAATGTTGGTTGTTTGGATCAATATTTGGCAAATTACTTGTAAAGAATACTCAGGGCAACAAAACTGTAACGAGAATATGTTATGTGTGTCCATGATAGTGTGTATGGATTATTAATAATGCCGGTTGGAACAGTATTTTATGTATATCCCCTCATATAGCTGGAATATTGCTGAATGTTGCGTTAAGCAACAAGCAAATGATATACTCATACCAATAATGGTTGTCACCCCCCCTTCCCACCCCAACCCCACACACATCTCACACCCCCACCCCCCACCCCTTTCCAATTAAAAAAATTGAAGGGGGTGACAACCATTATTGGCATGAGTTTATATATCAGTGCTCTTCAACTTCTGTGTGAGCAAGGTCTGAAGTGGGTCTTTGATTGTTTGAAAATATCGATATTGATCCTCTATATTAGCAATTAAGACTTTGAGCTGGATCTACTTGTGGATGATGTTAGTTCTCAAACATTCACATTTGCTGGAGTACAGTACTTAATCATATGTGTATCCCTTCTTAAGTTTTCTTTATGTCATACTTTATTTTAATATATATAATCTTCTTTCTTCGTGGCTGCGAAACTCGTGAAGTTTCGGGTTAGAATTGGTCTTCATTAATTGAAACTTATAATGTTAATCACAGGATCGTCCCGACCTGATTCGAATATTTGCAGACAACCTTCTTATTACTGAATACCGATGAACGACAAATTAACCAATCGTTAAAGCGATTATTTAAATGCATTTATATGTCATGTATGTGTGGGCGTGTGTGGGATTGGGTGTTGGTGTGATTGTGATTGCTGTGGGTAAAAGGGGAAGGGGTGTCGGATACTTTACATATAACACCAAAACCAGGTGTGTGAGTAGCCATCAGCTGGAGAGGGGTGTCGGATACTTCACATATAACACCCCAACCAGGTGTGTGAGCAGCCATTAGCTGGAGACTCTCATACAAACCTTTAGATCCAATTCTCTGACCTCTTACGACGAGCAGTTAAATATAGGCCCTGCTCTAACCCGGTCCCCTGAAGCACCATCGAGAACTAACTCAGAAAATAAAACCAGCTGATTATGCAGCTGTTTTCTGTGTCCATCGATCTACATCAATTACATTTTAATTTCACTTTCAACGCCCAGTATTTGCAGAAGATGGCAAATTAATGACATATATATCTCCAGGGATGCGCAAGCTCCTTACGCATTAGGTATTATTTCATGTATCTGGCACAGTTCCCACACAAGAGAGTGATATATATTCATAGAAACCTGTTCTGTGATCCCCAGTATTGGATTCATCGCGACATTACATAAGTGACCCCTGTGGGTATTCGGAAGCAGAATAGGTCAATATTAGTTGTCAGGCCAGACACATGCCATCGGGGTATTACAATGTGTGCCCTAAATGTTCTTATGCTAAGGTACCACCGATGGTAAGGGGAAATGCTCTTGCTGTCAACCACTGGATTTTATGGACAAGTTTTGAAAACAGTCTGACTTTCAGATCCAATTCTGTGACCTCTTTCAACGAGCAGTTTAATATGGGTCCTGTTCTAACCCGGTCCCAGGGAGAATCATCGAGAACTAACTCAGAAAATATGATCTGAGCTGATTATGCAAGTGTGTTCTGTGTCCATCGATCTACATGTCCATTACATGTATCTCACTTTCACTTTCAACGCCCAGTATTTGCAGAAGATGGCAAATTAATGACACATATATATCCAGGGATGCGCGAGCTACTTAAGTCTTAAGTATTATTTCACGTATTTGGCACAGTTCCAACACAAGAGAGCAATATATTCATAGAAACCTGTTCTGCTATTCCCCGTATCCATTCTACAGGATTCTTCACCACTGACACTCCTGTGGGTATTCTGATACAGAATAGGTCAATATTAGTTGTCAGATCACAAATAGCATCGGGGTATTACAAAGGGTGGCCTGAATGTTCTTGTGCTAAGGTACCACCGTGGGTAGGGGAAGTGCTATTTCTGTCAACCATTGGATTGACACGATTCCAAAATAGTATGAGGACATTAATACTTGTAAAGTAAAAAAGAATGTACCCATATAATACTTTTACATAACCTTACGAACACCATGCTACTCTCGCTCATGTTACATTTATGGCTATAATTCAGAATATATTTGATGATAATGCATAACCTTAAATACGTATTAAGTAATACTAAGTGGTCGGCTGATGGTGTACCAGGTGTTCATGAATGATTCATTCGATAGTTATAGGTTGCATTGCAGATCGATTAAAGAGTTCTAATAGTACATTACTAATAGTCGTAATGGTGGTCATGCCACCTGCTGCCTGTTTCTATCAGAAGACATATGTGACCTGACCTACTCTTGTGTTCCTCGACCAAGTACGAATCCGATCATCTCAGACTTGGTGGTGGTTTGGAAATGCTGGTGTCATCACTCTTGCTATATATACAGTCTTGGGGATACTTAACTGAGAGAGTGAGTTCAGTTTTACGCTGATTTTAGCAATATTCCAGCAATATCACGGCGGGGGAACACCAGAATTGGGTTTCACACATTGTACCCATGTAGGGAATCGAACCGTGGTCTTCGGCGTGACGCTTTAACCACTGGGCTACCCCACCGCCCCCGAAACTTAACTGAAAATACATTCATATATTTAAATATGAAATTGATGAAGCGGGACAATGCCTTTTCTAATGTCAGTTGGGAAGCAAGGTTATCATCTCTGACATTCTAGATAGACTGTTGTTAGTGAGTGACAGAGTTAGTTCAACGCTGCTTTCAACAATAGTTCAGTGGCCCGTTCCTAAAAGCGATCGTAGCGCTAAGGTGATCGTAACTCCCATACTTTAACAAAGACTTACGACTGTCGTAGCGCTACGATCGCTTTGAGGAACGGGGCCCTGTTATATGACGAGAAGCTTAACGTGCGAGGAAAGACCGAAATGGTGTCGGTTTCTTCACCACTTCAGTGACACCCACGAGAACGGGTGTGGAGCTAACTAATCTCGACACGTTATCGGGTGAACCGATATTCGAATTTACATTCATAGGTGCCTGGCGTGCCAAAGGGACACCACTGTGAAAAACGACCTGTGTCTCCTAAGATGACTGGACTGAACGTGTCCCGCGGTAGTTACTCACTCGCCCATCGTTTCATTAAACTTGTTCAACTTCAAGTTATTTCCTGGAAGCTTGCGTCATGAGCACATGAATGCATGCAGTAAATACAACGTAGATATGGTCAATGTACCATGGAGACCACACCAGGCAACAAAAAGCAAAATTATTTTTAATTAAAATTATTTTTAAATATGATTGTGAATAAGTTTGATCGGATGTTATATTGCATACAATAAGTCACGTTTTTACTGGTAGACCCATGTCTACTTTACAGACAGACAGTTTATTTCAGTACTTCAGGCCCAAAGCCCCTAGTAGAAATGAAAATACCAATTTAACATTTTAACATTTCCCACATGATGTACATATTGAAATTCAAAGGCAGTTTACACTTTTCTAACTACAAACACATTTTTAAAAACCACAGCAACAGCATGGATCAGACCTAAATAATCAGAGTTTAAAAGATTTATCGTCAGCTGGCGATATTTAAATCTACCCTGCACCATAGGGAGAAATTTATACCTTAAATTAGAATATTGTTCACACATAGATAAAAACATGATATTCGTCCTCTACTTCTTAACTCTTTTTGGACCTGCATTTACAAGAAAATTATGTAGTGAAATTCTGAATTTACAATATGCTGAAACTAATTATAAGTCTTATCGATTAAAGACGTTAAGTATCCTTCTGTTTGTAACAATGGTTCCACTTTGCTATAATTACTGAGATACAGTGATGAAGAAAGATCACAGTGCCATTGTTGACAAAATATATCCTTTAAATTTTGTTTAAATAAAAATAGAAACAAGTGTGAAGCCCCCACATCTTGAGATATCCATACATATGAAAAACCGGTAACAAAAAATAAATTCCTAATACCTGAAACCCAATTATTCTTGCCTTTGTCATCAAGTATCTTTAACACTGGTGTGGATTTCTATCTGAAGACATTCTTAGTAACTTAATCCAATATACAATTACCCTTAATTGACTGCCTACAAAAATGCTACTGCGGCCAGTTTCACCAAGGATTGCTCTATTACAGGCAAACTTACCAACACCTAGAAAACGTTTAAATATGAAGTATGGACCTTTTCAATCACAATTTAATACTTAGCACCCCATAATTCAAAGCCATATGGGAGAAAAGGCATATTTTGTCCTTAAAAACAGAACTCGCTGTGAGGAAAGATACAAATCTGTTTTCCTGAATATAATATACAGGGGAATAATGCATTTGCTTGCCTGATTAGCTAATTGCTTACATGACAAAGACCACGTCAGTCTTGAAGAAAACATAAGACCTAAACATTCGTAATAAGTGACAACATGTAAGGCAGATGAACCAAGAAACATTTTTCAGTTTTGCAACAACAACACCATTTCTAAAAACAAAAGAGTCTCATTTACCTATTCAGACAATGACCTACCTTTCAGCCGATCCGAATACTCTCGCGTGAAAGTGAAACTAGACATCACAAACAACTATGGTTACGCTGAATTTCAATTTCTTGTTTCATAAGAAAATGTTATTTACAAATGAATATTAATTTTAAACTTTAATAATATCGTATTTCTATATTTTGTGGCGAGGTGTAGGCAGCATGACCTTAACTAAGACGTCACAGACTGCTCCTGTTTGATGAGGTCGTAAAATGATTCACAATGCATCTGGCTCACTGGTTACACCTGTTATGTGGTTTTTTGTGCGCTTATTCACTGTAGTTTTGTAAACGCACAATGTTATTGATATAATATCAAGTCCGTACCAGGCCGCCAAACGTTTTCTAGCGGGAGAGCCTCGTTTTGAGATTTCCACAATTTCCAGGTTTCCGCTTGTCAGAGCTCGCTGTACGACAGAGCACGCTGCACGCCGTGTTTGCAAGGATTAGAAGGAGCGTAGTGTTGCAATGTACAAGTGCTTAGATGTATCAAATAATACTAATTAATAATTATGTATCCAGTTAAATGAATTAGTCTCAAAATTCTGGACTGGTTATTGTACTTAGTTGCGCAATAGGACGGTACCCAGTCAACAGGAAACGAGACTGTTGTGTAATCAATGTTTTGACCTGCATAACATTGGATTTGCTAAGATTTACTTCTAATCCCCATTTGGTACAACAGGATTGTAAGACATTTAACTGTCTTTGCAAGCCATTTACATCATCATCAGCAAAGAGAAGTAGCATTATGTCCGTAATTTCCTGTGTAACAAATATCTCCTGACTTCAGTTGCAATCTCATTTATGAAGAATATAAACAGTAAAGGACGTAGAATACACCCCTGACGTAGTCTTGCACCACTGGATGTTGTTATTTAACTTGTACATGCACTCACAGAAGCAAACATATTTTTTAAAAGCACTGACAGTTTGCCATGGTATCCCTTAGTAATAAGTAAATATATGAGTTTCTTCCTATTAACAAAATCAAAGGCGTTCGTAAAGTCAACAAATACACATTAAAAGCGACCTTTGGATTTGCACTGACATTTAGAAGAAAGAGCTTGTAGTACAAACAAATCATCAACAGTAGAATAATTCGGACGGAAATTAGCTTGCGACTTCGACAATAGGTCATTTACTTCATTCATATTCTTAATCGTTTTTCTATGATTAACATGAAGAGTTTTTATGTAATATTTAGTGGCGAGATACCTAGTTACTATTATCGAGAGGTTATCCTTTCGAGCGAAATAATCATACTGATCTTCCAATTTTCTGGAAATACGATAGTATCTAAAATCTTATTCAAGAATATGTTTCAAATATGGTACAACAAGATCAGATTCACAAGATAGTCAAAGGAACTCTGGGGTTCACTACTTTCACCAGCAGCTTTGCCCGCCTTCAAATTATTAATAGCTTCCTTCACCTCACGTTCCGTGATTTCACCTAACAAAGTTCATCACAGATAGCACATGAATGAGATCGGAGAACTCATCAACAACACAGTCAAACGTATTATTCTCATCAGTTTCTTGTATGGGGTTAAGTAGGTTTCCAAAGTAAACAAGCCAGTCACTTTGAGATATATAACTTCTCGGTGGGCGTCCCTGTATTGCCTTTTTCGTTTTTACTGGTAGACCCACGTTTACTTTACAGGCCTAAGTGGAGTTATTCACATTTTAGGTTAATTTACTCCAACATTGACAGAAATTCGTTTTAAGCAATAAATTACATTTAGTAATAAGTTTCATTAGCGGCACTGTATCCCTGAATCTGATAAACTGATGTGTTTTTCTGGTACAAGTTTGATGTGTGCCAGTGTAGAATTTACAACCACGCTTGTTTCATTAGTACAGTTAGCTTATTAGATCAGGCTGTATTTCACAGTAATAGAAGAAGACAGATATCAGCTGTTCGCCAGGTGCAGGGATAAACACATTCATCGTACACAAGGCCAGCAGGCACGTATGTAACTGGTTTACAATGTGCGTGTTTTGTCTGTGTCTCTGGTGACCTTTTGATTGAAAAGTGGCTGGGATTTCCTGAAACACATGTGTCCTAATGGATTGTTACATGGCAGCAGTCTGGACATTTGACCATTGGGTGGGATGGTTTTATTGACAAAGAATATTGGCGAGACGATGTGTGGGGTTGGGCTTTGGAACTGGCAATGGGCCATAGCGAGACGATTCCTTTCAGTCTGTACCGTTAATTTGAAATATCTGTAAAGACATCAATTTATAAAATTTGTGATATTATTTCTCTACAGTATATTTGCGCCAATCCTCCGCATATTTTAGATACGGAGCAAACCGTGAAGATCAGGAACCATGTCTTATGTGGCGACTAATTCGGGTGGTCAGGCTCGCTGACTAGGTTGATGCATGGCATCGTATTCCATCAGTGTAGATCGATACTCCTTTTGTAAATCACTTGATTGTCTGCTCCAGATTCCATTATTTGCAGACCGCCGTCATATAGCTGGCATATTGCTGATCATGAGTGTGACGTTAAAACAACAAAGAAACAAGACTTCCGAAGTTTACTTAGGACGCAGATGACAGTTTCAGTGTATAGCAAGAGCAGGTTGTTCGTGAATACCGAGATCAGAGGATCGATCATGTCAGCAGTGTTCTTCGCGGAGAGAGCTTCTGAAATTCGCTTACATTCGTCAATACAGTCGTCAATATCTGTGGTAACCTCTTCCGAGTCTGACAGGTATCTAGCTGACTGAGGGAGTGATTTGCTGAGTGGGGAGGTTACGAACATAGGGTCGTAAACAGCTTGCATAAGTATTTGACCTTTGACGGTGAAAAAAATGCTAACGAGTTGCACCATTCAAGAAGACACAATTTAGTCTCTGTTCTAAGTACTTGAAGACTCTGTGCATGTTGTTTGTCCCAAGGAATAATACGGTTGATGAACAACTCCTTTATTGCAACCATGGTTGACTGAAGACTGGAGTCTTTTTATGTTGAGTTCTTAACATTATTATCAGTATTTTTAAAATATTTCTTTATGGAAGTCTTTGAAGTTGGTAGTTAGGGCTTTTGAATTTTGTCCCACTGGAACTTGTGGCTAGATCTGTCGCGAATATGATCTGATAAATCTGACTTTGAGTCAACTTTGCAACCTGAGCTGTAATGTTCTTTAAATCGTGTTTTTAAAAAGCTACGTTACTCTTAGCTGTTCTTCAACAAAGTTCATCGACAATTGGCTTAAAACTCTATACCCTTGAATGTAACATGGTCTTCGGTGACGAGCCAACGTTGCTACAGCTACACCACGGCGCCCGTAACGTGCAGCTACACCATGATGAATCGGTATTGTTACACAAACTTTTTTTTGTTATTGTTTACTTTTCGTTGTTGTAGTCAACGATGGGCCAAGTATGATTTGTAAATAGCTGAGTGGTGGTCATACAGTGGTTGATATCGTGAGCACTACTCACCCATCGGGGCACGATGACACGTATTAAAGAAGATCTCCGCGTTATAGTGGAAGGGACACTACTGGGTTTGCCACTCGGATAGTGATGGATGAGGATACAAAGCAGTCCTGTAAGTATACAGTTTATTTTCTTAATGGATTTCTATAATCTGGTAGGATATGGGTCGGTATTTGCACCTGAAAGGTCTCTTACCAGTAACCAGCTATTTAATGTCCTTTTTTGTGTTCGTTACATGCCGACCCGTGAAGATCCGGGGTAGAATAGGTCTTCAGCAACCCATTCTTGTCATAAAAGGCGACTATGCTTGTCGTAAAAGGCGACTAACGGGATCGGGTGGTCAGGCTCGCTGACTTGGTTGACACATGTCATCGGTTCCCAATTGCGCAGATCGATGCTCATGCTGTTGATCACTGGATGGAGTGGTCCAGACTCGATTATTTACAGACCGCCGCTATAGCTGTGGCGTACAACTAAACTCACTCACTCACTCACTCGTTACATGCCAGTATCCAAGGAATGTTCTTCACGTCCTTTACAAACGATTGGTGATGGATCTGTTTTTGAACATACTAAATATTTTTAATGCAGATGTGCTATGATTCAATTGTATTATAATTAGTGAATGATAGATCATATTGCTTACTTTGGCCACAACAAACAAATACACTGGTCATAACCATGACCATTAAACGCTGATGTTTCGTGTGCAAGTGAGTATTGCTTTACACATCTGTTAGCAATATTCCAGCAATATCACGGACTACTGGCAGAAACAGGCTTCACATGGGATAGAACCCGGGCCTTTTTGGCGTCACAAGCGAGTGCCTTAACCACTAGGCTACTCCACCGCCACCTTAGCAACTGCATTTGCAACATTAACTTCTACAGTTGAATGGGTTTGATAGCACGACACTTTAAGCAGTAAGTCAATTGTATCACGACTCGTCAGCTTGACGTGAAATAAATTCCAAGCCACGTATACACTGAAAACCATGAGCCTGGGTATTAAACGAACAAACCTAGAAACAATGTCGGGCACACCGAGATTCGAGCAAGCGACCACAGGCTCCAGGTTCACCATGCCAACGCTGCATAAGGATGTTGCTTCCTTCCACCTTCTGCAGGATGCATGTGGAGTAACTATTCGAACATATAAGAGGATATTGACCATATCTTTCACGTGATATAAATGGTCGCCCCTGCTTTCTCCAATATTGATTGAGGGAGATTTGCGTCATACTGCTTCATTTCTAATCTTCTATCCTTCAGTAACTATAATAGCCCCGATAGTATACAGACGTTCTGTCAGAATCACCTGTGGATCTCATATTGACGTTTTCTTCAATAGATCATCTTCATCAATACAAAGCAGCAGAAGGATTTGATTCAGAAGATCCCCCCGGGTCATCAATCACTGGCAATTTAAAGTAATCTTTACAGACGGATTTTCAAATTCAACTTTGTTATTTATTTCTACTCTGTTCTGCTGTAGGATTCTTATGACGTGAAAACTGCAACATATGTGGGCGACACCATCCATCATTAGATTTGTTTCCGAATACCTTGTCTTGTTAAGATCAATTATATTCGTGCTACAAGGATGTCGAAGGTTCAAACGGTTCCCTTTACATTATTATTTGGAGTATTCCACAGCTGTCACATTGTGTTTATGTCGATGTAACTTCTATGCATATATTAACGAGAAGATTGCACACATACTTCCCTGTGACACGATGCCACGATATGCTGGAGTAACTAAGCAGCTGTTAAAGGTGTCTGTGCCATCAGGATCTCACTGATGAGTGAGTAATTGCGGACAGGTAATTGAAAGAAAGCATGGTATGTTTGTAAACACCAACGGCTCGGGCTGCTGGAACATCGCTCGACTTGAGTCATCATCCTTGCAGTACAGTCCTGAGTACACGAATCCCTGTATTTATAATAAAACACATTTCCGAAGAATAGGTAACTTTATCAATAAGGTGACAAGTACATTTGGATATCAATACTAGTATTTTGTCTGCTTACAGTCTCTATTGCACGTCGCTTTATCAGCAGTGACCATATTTTATGTCTATTTTATTACATATATTTTACGTTATTATAATCTCGATTAATAATACACCCACATATGTAATCACCTATATCTCTGCAAGATGTTATAGTTAGTGTTAGACCGGTCAACTGTGATTCCAGCACAACGTTCATTTTTCAGAGCCTATCTACTTCCGAACAATATATTGGCGTCAAGGCGAAAATGATTTTTGTTGCAAAACCGAGTGCAGAGATCTCATCCGTATCTGTATACCTGTCTACCACTACATCGTTAGACGTGACAGGTAAGGTCGTAGATATACAGCTCGTGATTTACTGCGTAATGTATGAACTGATGACTAATGAGTATTTGAGTCGTGTATTGATTTGGAAGCCATCTTCTGATCAATGAGGATGAAGCAAGTGGTGGAAGGTCATCACCAAGAAACATCTCCATCATTTTGGTTAATAGACAGGAAGAAAAACTGGGGTTTACATGCAACGTGCAGTCTGGAGGGAGGCTTGTTTGCCGCATCAGAAAGACATAGGAAAGTTTGACTTCAGACAGCAAATTGCGGCACCCTATCACTTTAACCCTCTGTGGACAACATGATATATACAGTCAAACATCTTTGTGTCTTGGTGTATTGCGTATTTAGTCTTCATTTTGCGGTTACCTCCGATATTTCGAAGTAAGTCCCTTAAACTTCGAATAAATAGTGTTTGAATGTGTTTTTGATAAACAAAACGTATAAGGAACAGACTAATAGATAGCAATAGACATTCCTCATGGAATTATAACAGTATATTTCACTGAACAAAGGTATATGTCACCGTTCATGGCAACAATATCATGTTCACAATATATAGTTCCAATTAAATGTAAAACAGTCCCTGTTAAATGTACAGCCATGTAACTGTCACAATCCACGCTTGTTATTTCGTCAGATTAATTGACCTTCACACCAGCCAAACATAGTGGTGGCCATGGCATTTAGTCTCTAAACCATGCACTCTCTGTACTCTCTTGAGAGAAATGTCAAAGGCTTCTTTGGACTTCTTGAAATACCTGAGCTCCGACAAGTGCAGGCGAACACAGTGTGTTTACCTGTTGTATTCCATTGCAATGTAACAATGTAAGTTGGAAGTCGGTCTGGCATGATTGCAGCCATAGTGTGACCATGTAGCTATTGCTTGTACACACACGAGTCTGGCTTAATAAAAATAGTACAAATATACATCCCAGTGCATGATCTTATGACCAACGTTCAAAGTGGTTGGAATACGGTGAAAATCATCGACGAACCAAGACAGGCCATTAGTAGCCTCATCTGATAAAAACCGGTACCTATTCTTGAACACGAAAAACAGTAACTTATGGGTTATTAGATTTCTTCATGAATTAGTTCATCGATTCGCACGCTGAGAACAAAGGTCAGTTAAAAACGATTAAGAATACGTTACAAACACAATATATCGAATCAATCGGTAAACAGAAACATGTCCAAATAATTACAAAGCATATGATTTTTCCCTACCAGTCCAGAGTTCTACATGCATAACGGTAATATTTCAAACCGTGCTTGAAATGAACATTGTTTTAAAAAGCCAATGATTTCAAATAGACAAGTAAGAGGCCCAGGGGTCGCAACTCTACAGAACAAAAGTTCATGTTGAGCTATACGGTAACTTCAGATATGAGTGAGTGAGTATGGTTTTACGCCGCTTTTAGCAATATTCCAGCAATATCACGGTGGGGGACACCAGAAATGGGCTTTACACATTTTAGAGTCAATCCATAAAATTCTAGTTTTGTCTATATTTACTTTCATTCCTGAAAAACGGGCAAAGTCGTCAAAACCTGAAGCAATGCATGCAGACAGCGTTCACATCCATCTGGAGAACAGGTAGTATCGTCGGTAAACTGATTGAATAACTATGTATTCAACATTGTTTACGTGTATTCCTATTATTTCTGCATTATTTCGTATGATTATTGCTAAAATTTCAACACAAAGTATGAAGAGATGTGGTGAAAGTGGAGCTCCTTGACGACAGCCTCTATAGATGTGGAAGTTTGAAGAACCAAAGCCATTAACTAGTACACTTGAAGTTATATTTTTATTTAATACACATACCTAGCTTTTAATGGAATCTCCAAAACTGAAAAAGGTGAGTGTATTTTCGATGAATGACCAGTCTACTGTGTCAAAGGCTTTTTCAAAATTTACAAGAAGTAAAAGTCCAGGAATCTGGTATGTATCGGTGTAATCAATCAAGTCATAAATCTGCTTAATAATATCACCTATCTATCTTCCAGACATAAAGCCCGATTGATCTTCATTTATCAATGTGTCAAGAACAGACTTGATTCGTTTTGAGATAGCCATAGAGGCAACTTTGAAAAATGCTGAAAGTAGTGGCATCGGGAGCCAGTTTTTAATATATTGTTTAGGCTTATCTCCCTTGGGGATACAGATAATAAGTCCTTCCTTTTGAGTCACTGATAGTTCTCCATTTCTGTATTCATAATTTAAAGAACGTATAGGTATTCTCCTAGATCATGCCAGAAGAACTTAAGGAATTCAGCAGTAAAGCCATCTGCGCCTGGACTTTTTTCATTTTTAAGACATTTAAGATCAGTTAAGATTTCATTTTTGCTACGTTCATCTTCGAGGCTGGATGGTACGTTGTGACTCAGTTTTGAAATTTTAAAATTTGTCAGTAGGTCGTCAAGATTTATATTAGAAAGTATATGATTATCA